GCCGAGAGATCAGGCAACTCAGTGGCTTGAGACGTTATCAGATATAACTCAGAATTGAAACCAGTGGCGATCCTGCTGTAGCTTTCTCCTGCTACTGGAAAGTAATGAATGTTTTAAGTGTATCTTACTTGACTACCCTTCTAATCATCCTATTCTCATTGTTTTTCTTTTTTTATCCATCCACTTTCCTTCGGTTTATGTCATCATATTGTTTTATTATTTCGTAGGCAGGTGGCGAGAAACTGATGAGATAAACTGGGACCATGTTATCATACTTCAATTGTTTCTCTTTATTTAGATTCATAAAGGGGAATGTATGTCTGTGTGTGTGAAGACTAAATTAATTGAAGTAAGACACTAAGAATCGAATCTTTCTTTATCGAGTCAACACTAAGCACATGCATTAAGGATAGTTCATTGATACTGTCTTCATAAATCCTCACAATTGGTAATGCTGTCGATATTCAGTTTCACTTTGGATGTATTAACAGACGGAGGAGATAATATATACTTTGGGAAAGTTCCACTGGTTCAAAACATGCAAGAAATGCATTTTCAGACGGACAATTTGACTGTCGCTTTTGAACTTTTTGATAATGTCTTTCGGATGAAAGGAGTTGATGACTATTTTAGTTGTCGCACGGTGGGCCCACCCTAATATACCGGCTCCATGTTTTAGGCATAACTTCGCTGCTTGATTCATATACTTTAAATGACATTTTGTGTATATCCTATATCGAATCTTTAATGCTTGGAAACATCTTCGATAAGGAACCACAGATTCTAAAACTTTTGGCAACCGTAATACTTTGGAAGCTACTATTTGACGGTTATTACTCACGATAGCCTACTAGGCAGGGTTATAGTATTATCCGAGAAGTACTCAGGTGGATCATCGTGACCAATCTTCATGACCACGCTCTTGACAGAATTTGTTTAAATTGGTAAATTTACCAGTCATCTTATTCGAGTGTCTTCATTTGATATGGCTCTCCAGAGTTTGACGTTATTTACAATACGGGAACAGAAACTTAACTGTATATAGTAGCTCATTTACGTATGGTAAAAAGAGAAGAGAATCCAATATATTACCTTTTGAAATGCTAACTGTTACTGATCTTCAAAAATGCTAAACCACAGTTACCTTCACCTGTTATCCATCACTTAGGAAGTCTCTAGTCAGACCCCTTTAACTTTACTCTTATCCCAAAACTTTTAAGCCCTACCATAGGACCAGAGTAAGAGATTTGATCGGAGGCTTTGGTGAAGTTGATGAATATAGTACCAACCGGTATTTTTATATTTCCAATAACTATCCGCTCCTCTGTCAATGTGATGATGTTCAACGAGCAAGAAAGGCCAGCTGAAAAAGCACACTGTACTGAAGATAAAAGTATGTTCACAAATAGCAGAGTGCCTTCGTTCTCCTGGATTTTCTTGTTGTTCAGAAATAATCTCTTAGGACAGTGGATGAAACCCTGAACAAGCTTATCATGTGCTACCCTAGATCCCGTAATTAAAGTTCTACATGAGTTCTTAGACGGAAAGCACCTACGCCTTCATTGTTAACAACCTGTGGGGGTGAGAAAGTTCCTAGGACGAAGTGCTTTCTTTGTTTGTCTGGGTATTCATGAAGAGACTGTTTAGGCCGGGTTGTTATGTTACTTGTACTAGAAAACGTACTCCATGCATCATCAACAGGTAATTGAGTAAGCCACAAATGAAGCATTCTCCAAAATGGCAGTGATATCTACAGGCTATACATTCAGTTCAAGTTGAACATGATCATTAGACATGCTGTAAACTCCTAGCTTAAATGAGCAGACAGTATGATCACTGTTTACTGATGAAGGAAGAATAATCAGGCTGGATACGTCATCCGTCTCATGTATGATGCTAGAGACATGTTGCATCATAACATGATCCATAACAGATAAGAGCAGTTCAGTTTAGAACGAATTACTGAACACCATAAACGACATTTCAACCTCATCTTTATCAGATGCTTTGAAAGCACCTGCTACAGGACGGCGACTATTTATACTCCAGTTGATAGGTGAACAACAAGTTTCAACAAGTATGTAGTAAGTGAAATAATAAGCTCAAATACTACTTTTTTTTAAAAAAATTCACACTGGAATGGAAATGTATTCTTACCTTCAACTTTAAGATCGAAATCGATTTCCGAAGCCTGTAACTAATGCACTGCTCATGTAATCGGTTGTGATTGGAGGTGAAATAAAAATCTAGACAGCGGTAGAATTCGGACCAGCGGCCTCCTGTTTACCGGTCGGGTACTCTGCCAATTGAGCCACGAGACCCAATTGCAGACCAGATCGTAAATTCACTTTGATCATCAAGGATTATGCAACAAATGGTCAGATTGAGTGATAAGTTTGGATTCCCTGCTAAACTATCCCCAGGCAATCATATGAATAGTTGGGACTATCTGCATATCTATCTCCATCTAATAGTAGTAATATCACATACTTGTATCTCTTTTGTGGACTGTTCATCCATCCATCCAAATCAACATAGGACTAGACATTACTGCGTAACGGTCCCAGTTGCCACACCTCATATCAGTTAATCAAGTAAAAAGACAGTGAGGTGGAAGATAAGAAAATTCAGTCAAATGAAATTCCAAGTACTTAAAGAGAAACGAAGGATGAAAAAATGGTGGGACTCAGTATAGCCTCGTTAAGATGAGGACAATATGTGTATATATACATTTGCGCCACTGACATCGGTCCTGAGACATACCCCCTAGAGTCTCCAGCCACTGGTTCCTCTTGTGCCACCGACCCCAACCGGCTGGCTAGTCTGCATCGCCCCACATAGCTCAAACCAACAGTCAAACACTTCATGCATTAGTGCCATGTTATAGTCTGGCCACCTCGGGCGTTTTTCCAGCTTGCACCTATTTCGGCAAACGTCGTGTGTCGAGGCAATCGGTGACTAGGCATACGTATTACATGTCCCAACCATCTCAGTCGATGAATGTTCACAATCTAGTCAACTGACTCACCTCTTCTCCCTAAAACTCTATACCTGACTTCTGCATTACTCATGTGGTGACACTAGGGAGTACGGCCTGTACTACAAAGGCAACAGTGGTCAAACATTTGAAGCCTTCTCATGTCTTGTGGACTTGCATACCTAATGATATCATTATTTCTTTTTGACTGTATCGATACAAAGTGTGCAAGGATGAACGGTTGTCTCCACTTCTACCTGGTACAGCTACACAAAGTACAACATCATGTTTTTAAATCAAGGCTTAGATTCACACAACAGTCTCCAAGTTTCGTTAATATCTAGCATGAAGAAGTGAAACTTTCTAGAAACAAGAATTCCGAGACAGCTCGTACCGCCTTCGACCTTTACTACTGCTGACATTTCGCAACGATGCAGACGGCAAATATATGTAGGTAACACATGTCCCAGCCATCCGAGTCAATGAAAGTTGGTAACCTTATGGAATGAATTTTCTCTTCTACCTAAAACTTTATGCTCAATTTCGGCGTTACTGACACGGTGACACTATGATCTATGCTACGAAGGTGAGGGTGATCGAACACCTTGAATAGCCATTTTACACAGTCATACAGAACAGATAGAATGGCCATCAGCCCTCTACCTCGACAGCATCGACTTTGGAAAAGCCTTCGACAGCGTTGACCGAGAAGTAATTTGGCAACTGCTTCAACAATACGGAATACCATAAACCTTTATCAACCCCATTCAACAACTATACGAACATGCCACATGCCAAGTAATTCACAATAGGAAGCTCGGTGAGGATGAATTTGAAGTGAAGACAGGAGTAAGACAAGGCTGTCTACTATCACCGATGATCTTCCTGATTGTGGTGGACTGGATCACGCAGCAAACAGTGAGGAGCAGGCAAGAATTAACAAGTTCACAGAAGAGGCAGCGAAGACGGGACTTCAAGTGAACGTAGACAAGACGGGGGTGATGATGTTACCGAATCAACGCCGCCACCAACAACAACAGCTGCAATCACCATCAATGAGAGAAACCAGAAAGAAGTAGCCTGTTTCACCTATCTAGGCAGCACTGTTTCAACTACAGGTGGCACAGACGAGGACGTCAAAGCAGCCAGGATCGGAAAAACAGCAAGACAGGAGTTCATTAACCTGAAACCAGTGTGGAGATCTACTGCAATGCACTGCACTCAGCATAAAGCGTGAACAACATCCGGATTTTCAACACTAATGTCAGTCAAGTCAGTGCTTCTATATGGTGATTGAGAGACTTGACGCGTTACGAAAAGCATTCCCAACAAACTACAGATATCCATCAACAACTGCCTACACTGGCTCGTTACTGAAGCTCAGGTGGCCAGAAAGAATTAGCAACAAGGAACTCTGGCTGGAGACGAACCAACCAAGAACCTATCGCTCGACAAATATGCAGAGGAAGAAATTGAAGATGAATTGGGCATGCACTGAGAAGACCATTCGGGGACATCACGCGCCAGGCCAGTAACTCGAATGCAACCCAGATGGGAAACGGCGAGTTGGGCGTCCAAGGCGAGGGTTACATGTAGGAAATCGTATAAGGAAGAAATGAGAGCTTCTCGGCAGTCGTGGAGCCAGGTTCTAAAGATTGCAGAGAAGAGAGAGGAAAGGAGGTGTTCTACTGAAGCCCTATGTTCCACTAGGAACCCAAGGGACAAATAATAATAATACAGAACAGAGCGAACTGCAGTGCAATACAATCAAGCCTTCATGGGATATCATACATAACAACGGTGTCATAAATGACATGTATGTGTAATTAAAAAATGAAATCAACAACATAACTCGATTTTATTTGTTATCAATTATAGTTTTATACATATTCAGAATTGATTGCAATACTTATCGGCAGTAGTAACAGATGAAATGAGAAGAAATAAGATATCGGCTGAAGCTTTACATGGGATATACAACGATTATATTTGTATAAGCCAGAAGCATGAATGGGAAGAGAACAAACAACTGACTGTTCCGTTAACAAAAGTAAACTCTATGATAGAATTCATAAAAATAAATTCTAATGGATTTAGAATTTTTTCAGTGATATGAATATATGCGGCAACAAACAACCAAGCTCCTTTATATCACTAGGGAAATTCGATTGCAATGGATTACATTCATTAGATTGTATACAGGTAACATTATTTTTCTTCAGTCATCATGACCATATTATCCCCGTCTATCGCAGTGTAATTTTGTTTTAATTTACTATTCAAAGCTTTTAAAACGCTTTAAAAGATCAGCATAATCGAATATTCCTCGTTCCTCTTCAAATGGATCAATCATACGTTGACCTGATAAATGCATATTCTGTTCACATACACTAACATAATATTCATAATAATCTTCAAAGCTTGATTCCATGACAGCATATAAATCTGATGGAAATGCTGTACGACGCTCTAATACATCGCATACTGCACATCGAATAGTTTCATGTGTAATGATTGTATTGTATTGTTGTGCATCACCTGGATTACGTTCTCTACTGAATCCAGGCTCATTGTAATATGGTTTATCATTCATCAATGATTGAATAGATATTAAAACTGAGGATAAACTTTGTGCTGGTGTCCATTCAGGACCTTGCCATGTACCAAGAACACTTAAGCAAATCTAGGTAATAAATAAAATTAAATAGAAAATGGAAATCAGCGTTTTACCATCAAAATTACAGCATCAGTTGGAGGAATAAAGGAAACACGGGAGCACTGGACAGCTGTTTCGTCCGCCTAGTATGCGACTTCTCACCACTGCGCACCCAGACCATCAAGTTTCGTGGCCAGCACGTTACCATTAAGCTAGCCACCGGGTCAAAATCCAATAGTCCATATTTCCAACTTCTGTTAGCTCACGATATAGCGCAACCGCCACCCAATGTCATAGTTGAGTAACTGTTCGGTCCCTGGTGTGGTCGTGGGTACGCATTGCTGAGGAGTTGCATACTAAGCCGACAAAACAGCTGCCCAGTGCTCCCAGGTTTCCTTTGTTCCTCCAATTGATGTCAGTCTACGATGAATAACAACTTGAAATATTCCCAAATCCCCACAACTCCCTCAAAATTACAGCAATGTTATTAAAACCGATCTAACAGATGATTTCAACCTGGAGATACTGAATAGTCAGAATTTCTTCGTGGTCTAGTTTTTGTCTCTATTTGGATTGATATTGAATGATAATTTGTTGAGTGTACGGGATTGTGACACAGTGGATTAGATGCTTGAACTTATGATAGTATCGTTGACCTCTACTGCACATTAGATCGAATTGTTCGACCTCTATTGGCATATGGGTTCCTATGCAGACGTATCGATATTGCCTGAATGATAATTTAGTTGGTTGTGGCTAGCAGAAGAATCTAGGACGCACGTTTCACCCTACTTAGGACTCGTCAGCTGGATGTATCTGCACCCCAGTGCGCAGTGATGTTGTCCCCACTGAGACTCGAACCTTGTACCCATCGCTCCAAGCCCCAAGGAGTTATCCACTATGGCACGGAAGTACGATAGACACTTCTTGTACCACGCATATTAGTTATTACTAATTATTGATATACTTGTTATTCTCCGTTGTTTTATTGCTATTATCATCATAATTAACATTCAAGCAATATCGAGGCATCCGCATACGAGCCCACATACTAATAGAGGTCGAACAGTTTGGTCCAGTGCTCTTGTATGGCTCAGAGACTTGGCGCGTCACGAAAGGGATTTCCAATAAACTACAGACATTCATCAACAACTGCTTACGCTCGCTGCTGAAGATCAGATGGCCAGAAAAAATAAGCAACAAGGAACTCTGGGAACGAACCAACCAAGAAGCTATCACGCAACAAATATGCAGGAGGAAGTGGAGATGGATTGGGCATGCACTGAGAAGGCCGACTGAGGACATCACGCGTCAGGCCCTCGAGTGGAATCCCCATGGGAAGCGACGAGTTGGACGTCCGAGGGTGACATGGAGGAGGTCATGCGAGGAGGAAATGAGAGCTTCTGGGCTGTCGTGGAACCAGGTTCAAAAGATCTCAGAGAACAGAGGTCACTGGAGGCGTGCTACTGAAGCCCTATGTTCCACTAGGAACCCAAGGGACTAATAATAATAATAATAAAGTTTGGTCCAGTAGAACAACGGAAAATTATAAGCATACCAATGAATAGTAACAACTGATACCCATTGTACAAGGAGTGGCTGTCGTGCTCCCATGGCATAGTGGATAACGCCTTGGCATTTGAAGAGATGACTATGAGGTTCGAGTTCCAGTGGGAACAACATCACTGCGCACTGGGATGCAGGTACATCCAGCTGACGAGTCCCAAGTAGGGCGAAACATGCGTCCTGGATTCTCCTGCCAGCCACAACCAAATTATCATTCAGGCAATATCGATACGTCTGCATAGGAACCCATATACCAATAGAGGTCGAACAATTCGATCCAATAAAACAACGGAGAATTACAAGTATATCAATAATTAGTAACTCTACAGATTACTGAAACTACGAACTAGGAATACAATGAAGATGCATACTAAAAAGTAAGTAGAAATGACCATCTATATCTCCTGCGCACTTTCAGGGAGGGGGGGGGACAAACTGTTATCTCATGGCTCATAGATAAACATAAACCTTCTGATTTAGAGGTTCAAGACACTAACAATTTACCAACAGTTCTGTACACGTGTACCCCTACACTGGATTATAAACCTTACAATACTTCTTTTCATAATAAGCTTACTAATCAGTATACGTTAGTATTATTTTATCGATTAATTCTCAGACAAAATCAACATAGAACCTCGCATACAAGTACATCGGTTCAAGTTGCCATATTTCAGAGTAGGATGTAAAGAACAAGTGGATAGAAAAAGACTGATATTAAGCTAAACGAAAGTGTATCAGAAAACAGAAAATTTTAGATGTCAAAGAGTGAATACATCTTTGCCACTGACCAATTTTCAGCAATGTCAACAAGAATAATCGATCATTCATTCGTATCGCAGACCTCAGTTCACCTCTGTATACGAAGCGAAGTAACTACACTAGTTGACATATTCCACTACTTCATTTTCGATTCTTAAACTAGGAGTACTTGTAGGAGACCAATTATGGAGCATCATCTTACATTGTACAGGTGCGAAAAGTATGCAAAACACTCAGATTTCCGCTCAATGCATTCACAAAATCCTGCATTTTGTCAGTGTTTTCACCTAGCAGGACAATATCGTCTGCATACTATACTTCAAGTCAACCAGATGCTCTCCAGGGAATAGATCAATCCCTGTGGCTCGGAAGTTTAAAGAGATGATTATCAACCATTGGGTCACGGGGCCCGTATATCGCTCCACCTACAGGGGTATGGGCAGTCGGATAGTATCACTAACCCTCAAACAATAAGGTGTGGCTTACTACCTACTGTATGGATGTGCACAGGGTAGCAGAGTGCGTTAGATCGAGTCATGCCTACCAAAACATCTATAGTGAAGTTAAACAGCAGCGGTGACAGTGGCCACCACTGGCTGTCGTCAATTCACATGATAACTCTCCATAAGCCACAACACAGGTGTATGAGTTTGAGTGGTGAAGAGTTTTGATTAGAGTTATGCACTTGCTCGGTACTTCTTTCACAATCAGGCACTGATGCAACACCTAACGGTCGATTAAGTAAAGTGTCGCCTTCAGGTCAAGAAATATGACAAGTGTCGGTCGTCGGTATGTATGTATGCGTGTGTTCCCTAACCTGTTGAAAGGGGGAAATTGGATCAAGAGCTTATCAATCAATTCTGGAAGTCTGTAAGAAAACACTGATGTGTATACTGATCAATTTATCTTATTATGATGTATATAAAAATAGGTGAAAATGAAGTATTCTGAGGTGCATAATTCAGTATACTGCTAAGAATTGTGACAACTTGAACCGATGTCAGGTTCTGTGTTGATTATGTCCGTCTTTTTGACAAGCTGTCATGAGAGCCAGCGACTTCATACCCATAATAGTTACTACTCAGTTATGAATTCATGGACACAACTATCTTGACTAAAATCGTGTTTAATCTTCTAGCTTCGGTAAAACAGGTTCAAATTTTTGAGAGAATGTAAGTTTTTTATGAATGAATCCAACCAAGTACAATCAGTAACGTTGTGCACATTTGTGCAGTAAACAATGAACCAGATGTATTGTTTGAAAGGTTTAATGATACTGCTTGCCTGATTGCCTTAACCTAGATAGATGGAGTGAGGTTTGAAGCTATGATCTCATTGGTTGAAAGTCATCTCCTTAAACCAATGAGAGCCAAAGCTCCATCAAGAATAAACATACACATTGCTCGAAAGTGTCAAGATTTAAGACTTCTTTTTCTCTGACTCCTAGCATTCTGACACTATGACTACTGTTTTAATATGATGTGATAAAAACACTATTTCATTCTTGTTTTGTTGTGTATTTTATTCCAAAAACTTTAAATTGACTTTTTCTTTTAGTAGTAGTAATAACTTTGAAGAATAAATACTATAATCTTCCAGAATACACAAAACATATTGAGAACGATTCATATGAGTTGAATATAATATAGTGTGTACACAGCTATTTGCTTTGATACAGATAAGGATGAACGTCTTGGATTCAAGAATATTTCAAAAAATAAAAATCTTATACCTTTTTTGTAAAACACCTAGTCAGTTTTTAATATAGGTGTAAAACTTGGGCACTATAACAGGATATATTTCCATATTGGATTTGTTTATTTGATGTTTATAACATACAGTGAGTGATACTGCATCATTTTACTTGATGACATTTCGAGCATCAATTCTCTATTGCTCATAATCACACTCCACATTCAACATCTGCATTTTATAGTCTTGTTATCTCACATTCTTTGTTTTTATTGGTAGTTACATTCTCCCTATCTCTAGTAATAGGTGTTGCGTCATTCTTATGACATATGTTGGGTGGGTGTTGATTCGATGAACAAAGATTCAGTACTCAACCAGTCTCTCTCTCTCTCACCTACCTACCTACCTACCTACCTACCTACCTACCTACCTACCTACCACCCCACACCTACCTACCTACCTACCTACCTACCCACCCACCACCCACCTACCTACCTACCTACCTACCTACCTACCCACCTACCTAATTATATTGGACTTAAGTACAGTGGCTGTATCCCACCCTATTGTGTGGTTGTGTGTACAAGACTTGAGTTACTTCCTAGATTATTGATCTTATTCGGGTCCGTCATTCAATATTTAGTTAAATTCCTATGTTTCGACAATCTAAATGACTGCGACCGGCCAGTTTCACCTATGCATTTGACATCGCAGAGCTTCGTAAGTAGATTTTTTTTGTTTGATTGGATCTATCGAATTCTTAAGCCAGCTGACAAAGCTTATCTCTGAGTGAGTTTGTAGGTTTAAATGATACCCTAATTCCAGCTTTGTTGAGGATCCTACGTAAAGTTTCTGATGTACCTTCTTTATAGGGTAACACAAAAGAGGATGTGAACTCCTTTTCATTTCTTGTGTGCTCGTACGAGTCCCTTGATAAACTATAGAGGATAATTATTAACTATTGGTGCTTCTTTTATATGCTTCCATTCCTTCGTTTACGTCCTAGCAGCGACTAGTCAGTTTTCTAGCTCTGTTGTGTAGATATCTGACTAAAACTGCTTTAATTGACATCGGATGAGATGACTTGAAGTCTAGATACCTGTTGGAATACATCGGTTTTCTGTATACGGTAGTATCTAAACTATCGTCTGTCCTTCGATTCATCCTGCAGTTCAACACAGCTGATTGTCTTTGTTTATTTTCTACCTCGTAAGTGGATTGGATTCCACCTTCTACTGAGTTTATATGTGTGAGGAAATCGGTCGATATGTTCCGACTGTAACACAGTAAATGTTTCATTCACATATCGCCCATACTTTTGGTGTAGGATTAAACGTTTGTAAAACCATGTTTTATCAACTATTCATAAATATATCTGCTACGATTGAGGATATTGGCGACCCCATTGCTACTCCTTCTGTTTGTCTATACAGACAACCAGTCAATCTGAATTCTAATGATGATTATTTGCATGTATTGCAGAAAAATACTATTCAAATTAAAAATAAATGGAACCTAGTCATTAAATTGACCAATATAATAAATTTTATCTATTGTAATAAAGATGAATATCGCTCCCAGGCTACTCAAAACTGAAGTAGAACATCACCTGGAAATAAGAGTTGAAATTCAAAGGGTCAGATCTCTGCAAGGTCTGGAAGGCTAAGTACTTCACAGCCTACTACACGAATGTGCACAACGTAGCTGAGTACGTTTTGTTCTCGTTCGGACTAATCAATGTACTATGCAATATTTGCAGTGTAATAACCACACTACAATACTATATTACTGGTTAGTAAAGTAATATAGGAAAACAACTTTTTCACTCAATAGCTAAGATACAAACTTCAAAATACTTGTCCTCTAACAAAAGTGCATAAAGTATTTTACTGCCAATTATATTTCAAAGCATCGGAGATTAAAATTTTCAGTACATATAGTAGTTAGGTCGTCAACACTATTAGACTAAAGGTAGGTTAAATTTCGTACAGCTTAGTTTCCCCAGCTGATGAATAGTGAAGTAATGAGGGATAGTTTGCAATGGTAATAGAAGTTAGTTAGATTGAATTCCTCCAGAAGCACTGAAAACGGACGCAGAGACAACAGCGGACATACTCACAACAATGTTGTATGAGGTTTGGAAGGAGGGAAGGAGGTACCTGCAGACTGGAAGGAGCGTGGCCTAAGCCTCTGCAAGAACTGGCGCGGAATCATGATCCACTTCAAGCAAAAATATTAGGCCGCATCATCCTCGGGAGACTAAATGATGCTCTGGATTCAAAATTATGACCATAACAGGCTGGTTGGTTGGCTTCCGGGAAAACAATTCATGTGCGCATCAACTTGAAACGCTACGCATCATAATAGAACACAGCACAGAATGGCAACTCTGTACCCCAACTTCATCCACTTTGAAAACGCAACCGACAGCGTTGACCGATAAGTAATTTGGCAGGCAGCTGCTTCAACACTACGATTTTAGTGCCACAAACCTTTATCAACCTCATTCAACAACAGTTATATGCTATATGAGGCTACATGCCGAGTGATTCACAATGCAAAGCTCAGCGATGCCTTCGAAGTGAAGACAAGAGTAAGACAAGGTTGCCTAATATCCATCAAAGATCATCTTCCTCATTGTGGTCGACTCGAGTGGATCATGCAACAAACAACTGTGAGGAGCGAGAAGATAGGCGCACGCTGTTTGACTGATGAAAAGACCATAGAAGATTTGGATTTCGCCGATGACGATTTATGTCTAATGTTATCATGAACGGGAGAAATCCGAAGAAAGTTGTCTCTTTCACCTACCTACCTAGGCAGCATCGTCTCAACTACAGGCGGCGGTACAGGCACAGATGAGGACGTCAAAACCAGCCAGCCAGGATCGGAAAGACAGCAAGACAGGTCTTCCTTCATTAAACTGAAGTAATCAATGTGGAGATTACTGCACTGCACTGAGCATAAACAACAAGATTCGGATTTTGAATACTAATGTCAAGCCAGTACTTCTGTATGGTTGAGAGGCTTGGCGCGTCAAGAAAAGTATTTGCAACAAACTACAAACGTCCATCAACAGCTGCCGCCTACGCTCAGTTGATACTGAAGATCAGATCAGATGGCCAGAAAGAATAAATAACAAGGAACTCACTGTGGCTGGTAACGAACCAACCAACCAAGAACCCATCGCCCAACGAATATGCAGGGTAAGAAAGTGGAGATGGATTGGATTGAAAATATACTGAGAAGACCGCTTGGGGACATCACACGCCAGGCCAGTCGCTCGAGTGGAATCCAAATGAGAAACGACGAGTTGGGTGTCCGAGGGTGACATGGAGACGGTGTGAGGAAGAAATGAAAGCTTCTTAGCAGTCGTGGAGCCAGGTTAAGAAGACTTCAGAGAAGAGAGTGAAATGGTGACGTGCTACTGAAACCCTATGTTCCACTAGGAACCCAAAGGACAAATAATAAAAATAAGCGTTTAAATTAACAGTAAGTGATATTATTAAGGAAACATCAAACTCACCTTTCCATTGGAATAGAAATTCGGATTAAATCTCACGGTACCATTTCCAGTAGTCATCAGTTTCACCTTTGGCGGCATAAGCGGATATTCAGGTGGGCATCGTAGCAGAAACAAGAAGAAACCCCCTTCATACGGAGTATCAAAAGGCCCTGTGATCAAAGCATAAATTTTCGTCATATCTTCACTATCAGGAACTACACATATGCCAGGAACTGGATCACTGTCTAGAGTGGAAATACTCATTGACATAACTCACTTGCAAATAGAACGTAAATCCTTGGTTATGCGGAGTAGACAGTCAGTACCGGCAGGAACGTCATTCGCTCGATGTTCTGGATCCCAACTGGCAATACCTTGCGATAAGAAGTATTGGAAACTTGGTGGTCCTGTTTCCTTGACTGAGTTCATTTATAAAAATGCACTCAGCCAATTAAAGATGACCAGAACTAAAAGTAATACACACCAAACGATAAGTTTTGCTTAGCACTTTTATGCATTTTTAACATAACGATAAAAAAAATAATTGTCTACTGAGGAAGACATTTTTTAAGTCAAATGCTTACATAGAATGAAAAAAATGAACTGAAATTAGTAAGAGTATTCCATAGAACTGAAAATTTGCGCATTTACTTGCGTAATCTCAGCGTAGTATATTATTAGAACAAATAATAAAATAAACAAATATTTTGTATTATTCCTCCATGTTTTGATCTTGCTAGGAAGATCCTTTTCTTCAAGAGTATGAATCTGATATTAAGTTTTTAGGTTAATATTTAAGTTTCGGTACAGGTGGTGACTTTTACAATCATCCAACTACATGCAGCAAATGTAATGATGACCTTGGCTGCATAATATTTTACGGATGGCTGATCTAAGTCTTTTCCTCACAACAAAGTTATGCTTATTCAACAGGATGAACCGCATCTGCACCGATGACACTAAGGAAGAAGAAATCAATTTACTGACGACAACACCACTGATACAGAATGGCTACCCGTTGAAATTTCACGACAGGTGCTACAGTTATATACCATTGAAAAGTACACAGTGTTTCGTTGCTAAGAAAAATACCTACATCTCATTTTCATTTAGAAGTGATTCACATAGCTTTGTTGTTAGAATCAGCCATCTGTAAAACATATTATCCAGCCACGGTTATCATCGTAAAGAAGGCAAAATCCATGTTAAAACACAGACCAAAGCAGCACAAAAACAACTGCATCAATTTGCATGTATGTGTAGACATACATAAGGAGGAATAATCGTGATATTCAGCTAAGGATGATTGAACATGTACCTAAGTAGCTTCAAAAACAAATGACCCCAACAGATCCGATAAGTGCAGGTTACAGACATCCATCTTCGTCTATCGCTAACTATAGGATAGACATAAATACACCTTTTAATGTACTACATAAGAGTGTTCAGGGTCGAGTGCTTAAATCCACTGAAACTCTTGCTGTCCGTAAATTCAAACCTCTTTTATGTGCTCACATTAAACCTACCTTAGTAGTATTGATTTTAATTTTCATACCAAGAGTAAAGTGATTAAGATTTGATTCTCAGCCCTTCCTATTCTTATGTTTCCCATTAACTTCATTGACCCTTTTAATAAATTTTCATATAAATAGTTCGACAAGTTCATGTGTGATCAGATTATTCAAAATGTATAGCGCTAATACATCATGACATGTTTCAGATAATCTTCATCTTTTCATTAGGCTGTTTAAATTTATCAAACAGACCAGTTGCTTTAAATATCGATATTATCGTTCAGATTGCAGTTTTATATAGTTCAGCATAACTTAAATCTTTAAATGTCACACAAAACATCTAGAAGACAAACTTACAACAGAGAACTTTGCACGAACGTGGACTGGTTTGTATTTGTAAACTCAAAGGGTAAAAAATACTGTAACAGACAAGAAATAAACTTAAGAGCAAGTAAATGAAGGGTGGTAAGATTTTAAGATAAGTGGCTCTTTCCATAGCCGATTGCCAGTTACATCAATAGACTATTGGTTCTCAACACAACGTGGTCCTGACTCGGAAGGTTTGTGGAGACTGCATACAATTATGTATAAACCACTTCAAGTATAAGCAATATTTCCTTTTCATCGTTTCTTTTACACATTCTGTAAATTATTCATAATACTTGTAAAAACGAATGTTGTATATACAGCTTTTTGGTTGTGGCGGTAATTGCATCTTTTGCTGCTGCTAATCGTGGAAATATAATGTGCTAACCATTCCGACTTCTGCCTCCGTGACTATTGCCTGTCGTACATAATAACTGATTGTCTTGGGAATTTACAGTACTTCTCATCCTACTTCCAAATATTACGACAATCAAGCCGACCGACGACCACAGCGGAGAGACGACAAATATCGCCTTCTGATCTCTGGAGTATCCTAAAATTGTGGTGGACGATATCGAAGAAATAACCTCCAAGTAACCCGTGATTATCTATAACATTGACAATACTATTTTGTGCTACAACGTATAACTTTTCACACACGTGTATCATAAAATCCATTTTTCTTGTAAATTATACGTAGTTTGTCATTTTGGTTTACTTGACATTCTTTGGGTCCACTACAGGTTCACATCAGTAACTTCATATATTTATTCAACCAAACTTATGCTTTCATTCAACTAAATGTAACTGCAGTGAACAAATCATGTCATAGGAAATTGCAGCTTGGCGTATGAGATCTATTCATTGCAAGTTTACACTTGAATCGGTGATTTACTTTCTTCCCCGTTCACTAACCTAACCTCATTATCTCTCACCCAAAGGTTTTTTTTATACGTATAAACAACTGTTTGATGTCACTAATAGTCAAATACCTACATCATATCTTTTGCCTTCAACGAATGTTTCACTCCACAGCAAAGGAGATCGGACATCTGACCAATATGCAATCGGAGTGCATTGGCGAATACTAAACTATGTTTTTGTATTCAGACTATGATTTCACATACAAGTGGTGTATTCAAAAACTGTTACTCAAAAAGGGTCAGTGCAAAATCCATATATTCTTTGAACTTATTCAGAAGACTCTAGTTAGTTTCCGCTTAACTAGATTATATTTTCTACATGTTCAAGGCTTTCTGAACAGCGAATCAATTTTAACAGTCAGTTAAAAGCAAGGTTATCTCCAACGAAGTTGAAAAACACTGACTATACTAAGCATACATACTACGCATCCCGAATGTGAGCAATACTACGAAAACATATGTGATCAAAACCCTGTAATTGCTTTTAACGACCATGACTCAGTCGTACAACCATACAGAACCGACTTAAGCACAGAATACACGTTTTCCGATAGTTAGATATCTCGCCAGTTGGCGGTACAGACGACGCAAGTTAAAAAGTGCCAAACGGGCTTTCTGTATATGAGTTGAGACCTCGTCAGCAACCAACCCGTTCAGGCTGATACAACTTCCCAAGTAAGTGAAGTAGTTGACACACTCCACCACCACTCCTTATCATTAAACTGCAGGTATTTGAAGCAGACCAGTCCTGAAGCATCATCTCACACTCGACAGGTGTTAGCGAAACCCATATCAAACATACACAGATCTCTGCTCAACGCGTTCACAGGACCCTGCATTTAGTCACCGTCTTCACCCAGCAGGACAATATCGTCTTCATACTCCAAATCAAACAGATGACCTTCAGGGAGTAGGTCAATTTCTGCGGAACCAGAAGTAGTTAACGCTATGTCCACTAGTATGTCGATAACGAAGTTGAATAGGTACAGTGACAGTAGGCATCCCTGGAGAACACAACTAGTTGTCGTCGATTCACATGACAACTGTTCATATGCTATGACATGGCTCCATGAGTTCCAGTGGAGGGCTTTGATTCGCGTCATATACTTGCTCGGTACTCCCCTCAGTCAGACACTGTCGTAACGCGTCACGGCCGACAGTCAAGTCCCACCACGTCAGCAAATATGGCAAGTGTCGGCCACTAATCGCTAGGTATGCCTATGTTCCAGAGCCTGTCAGAAGGTGAAAATATGATCGATACACTCTCCACTAGGTGTGAAACCTGCCTGGTTTTCTAGTTTGCTGTTCTCAAGCTTCAGTTAGGAATTAGATAACTAGGGACCCTAGGATCTTGAACACAATACGGGTCAAGCTTACTGTCACAAGATTTCTCCCCCTTCTTATAGACTGGGACGGTCAGTGAAGCACACCAGTCTGACAGAACTACCTCTGATTCACATACACTACCTAGTACTACCATCACTCTTATCAGCAATTTCTCAATACTATCCTTGAAAACTTCAAATGGCAAACTGTCAGGTTCCGCTGCTTTACATCTATCCAGGTTCAATGCAATTTTCTCAACTTAAGGAGTTAGAGGGCCGACATTTCCATTCAGGTTCAGGCTGGATGTTGGGCAGCTGAAACTTTGCTGAGGGCCAGTGGAACTGTTTCAGCGTTCTGCCCAATATTCTAGCCCTCCATCCTGGGAGGTTATCAGCATCTCATCGTTTTCACTGACGGTTTCACTCACCACTTCTTGCAGGTATCCTTTATAAGCCTAAATAGTTATCGAGTGTTACCCAACACTGATACTTTTTTCCAATTCTCTTCCTCCGTCACCCATTACTGCTCGCAGTTAGACGCGAAGACTATTGGTCAACTTACGTCTGAGTTTCTTGAGCTCTTAGTGGTTTTCAGAGCCAGCTGGAATCAGTTTTTTCACATCATTCAGTTCGGATAACGTCGCGCGAATTCAATGACATTTTCCAACTTTTTAGTGTAGGTTACCAATTGTCTTTACCTTTGTTTCTATAGCAGATTAAACATCACGCCAAGTTTTCTCAGGATGAGCAGTTCTGTCACGTTCAGATAAATGCTTACCTAACCCCTCTCTAAATATGAACTTGGCGTCCGTATCTACCAAGCGACCACACATGGGCTTCACTGCCTCCTGTTTCCTGTAACCATTAAGACGCAGGCACACGAGCCCGTGCTAAAACGTGATCGGAGTCAAAACAGGTACTTCAGAAAGAGCGGCAATCAAATTAGCGACTGGGAAAGTTCAGTGCTGTTTTCAGATTCCGAAATTTGGAGGCATTTGAAAAAATATGTCTGCTTCATTGTCTGACAAAGGCTAGAAATTTATGCAGAATACTATCGTTCACAAGCCAAAACCTGGCTGATTCTCCCATGCTCTTTGTTTCAGTGCCTATGGACCTTAGAAAATGCATCAACTAAACTGCTTTCCAGGCACTTAAACAGTCGGTAGTTAATATGGACATGGGACCTAGTATTACACTTTATATCGGCATATCACGCGAGAACGTATCAAGATGAAAGACAGCGAAATAAGAAAATAATCAGAGCGGTGGAGAGAATAAGAAAAAAATGAAATTAACAAAACCCGATACAACTATTGAAGTGTAGAAAGTGAATGTATTTACCAGACTGGCATCATTTGAGCCATATCACCTAA